AGTGGTGAAAAACTACACTGCAATCCCAGAGCCATGTGTTTAAAATTCACCAGCTGCTCCACGGGGAAAGGAAATGCAATTTCAAGTGAACTTTACTATCTTTGAAAACCCAATGGAGGGCCAACTATGAGTCAGTTCCAACGTGACAACACACAGTAACAACAAAAACAATAATCTCTACTAAGTAGACTCCTGGTGGTACAGTTGGTTAACAACTCAGCTGCCTACAAAAAGTTTGTCAGTTCAAGCCCATCAGTCATTTCAAGGGAGAAGGATACAGCAAGCTGCTTCCATAAAGATTTATAGCCTTGAAGAGCCTATGGGGGCAGATCCACTTGATCCTACAGGGTTTCTCTGCATTGACTTCACGGCAATGGACGTGGGGTTTTGTTGTGTTTACTGCTACAGTTTAGATGGAAAACAACAGATGATGTTCACAGGTCGCTATGAGTCGCAGGCGACTCGACGGCACATAACAACAACAACAACAGAGTCAGAAAGTGACACAACTTGAATACTAGCCTCTACAGTTTGGTTTTCAATTCCTGCTATTTCTACTTACTTCATCATAGTTTTTGTAGTGGAAATAATATGTGAGTGTAATATTTTTTCTTGTTGTTGTTGTTGTTATGTACCATCAAGTCACCTGCGAATCATAGCGACCCTATGTACAACAGCCCTAAACTCAGTTCTATCTTGTGCCAATTACTGTCTCTGACTCATGGACCCCCATTACCCCAGACACTGAATCAATTCATCTCATCAAATGTCTTCCTCTCTTGAGCTGTCCCTCCTCTTCAAAATAAAGGAAGCTATTTGTAAGACTTCAAAAGACTTCAAGTTACCATTTTTTATGTTTAATGTACAAGTGCTTATTAATCAACTTCTACATGCCAAGAAAATTGTCATTTGATGTATGAAAATAATAAAAAGTTAATCTAATAAAAGCTATCAATTATGAGAAGATTTCTATGAAATGAAATCACTGGTTTGGGTTTTTTTAAATAAATAAAAAATAAATAATTTTTATTTTATATTGGTTTGCTTACAGAATTCATATCCATTGAGTTTTACAATATCCTTCATTCACACTGTATTCTATAAAATCATTCCCATTCATCTTATTTTATAAAATCAATCAACATTAAATTATGTCCACCATTACCCTGTCTTTTGACTGGTTTTTTTTTTTACAGTGAATGAGTCAAAGAAAACACTACAAATATTAGCAATAGAATCTGACAAGTATTAGCAATATTAAACAAATTTGAAAAACTAATTTTTTAAAAAATCATTCTGCATTATACCTTTTAAAAGAGTTACATTATTCTCATTTTATAAATGATTAAGAGATTTCCATTGTATTTCTACATTATTTATTATATGTGAACAAGTATTCTGTATATACTTATATTTTAATCTTTAATACTCATAAAAATTTAATAATGGAAAGGGTAGTAAGCTCAGAGCCAGCAGATAGGCCTCCAGCCCCAGGCTGATGGGTGCAGGTAATACTCTTATCTCCTAACCCAAAAGCTAGATTCTCAAGACCAGGCAGGGCACCTCAAAAGAAAACCCAGACCAGAAGCAGCCATCAAGAACCTTACTGTGCACAGTTCAACTCGGACACTCACTGATCACCATGTGTTGAATTAACCCTACCCTAACTGAATACATTTTACTTATCTCGGGAAATTCAGTTCACCTTTCTGAATTTATTTCCACACTGTAACAGGCAAGACACTACTACCTGTTTTTCAAGCTACTTTATCAAATAAATATTTCACCAAACTTTCAGAACCACAGGCAGAATTTAAGTGTTACAAAATGAAAAGGATTTCAGATGCTAAAAATTACAGTCTTTGAAAGGGACTGGAAACTATAAATGGGTAACACAGGCAATCCTGCTGGTGTTCAAAGGAAGCACCGATAAATCTCTGCATAAACGCTTGTAAAAGATACACTGCAGCCTTTTCACAAAAAGAGGCAATTTTCTGGGGTTCACAAGGCTGTTGCTAAAATTCACACATTAATCTATCCAAGAAATAGAAATATTAAATCTCACAGCAGCAACCATTCTTAAACTTGAGTGTGAATATAAATTTTTTGAAGTCTGCATTGACGATATACACTAATCATAAGGATTCAGTTCTAGGTGGAACCCAGGGACCTAGACTTGTTTGTTTGTTTGTTTTAAAACAAATACCCCAAGAGATTATGAGCAAGAGGTCTGTGGACATCTTGTTGCAATCAATTCCAGTGCTACCAAACCCTGTTCCTATTATTATACACAAGTAAGCTGGGGCCTTACTGACACCAGGGCCACCCGTCTGTCCAAAGGTAGAATAAGTGAACCATCTGGGTGTGCCTGCAATCCAATTGTAGAACGCCAGCAGAGAAGTATGAGCCAAGGTCGATTATTCTACCCTTCCAGAGAAGGAAGAGGAATCTTAGGGGGTGCAAGTGGTTAATGAGTTAAAGTTTACCCAAGGCACCAAGAGAATCAGCTACTTAAAACAGTACGGTGCACATCTCTACTCAAACACACACAGACTCAGGGAGTCAGCAAAACTCGAGGGCAACTGGTCTGGTAACAGTTTAGATAACGGAAAAGGGTAGAGATACGAGGAACCCTGTGTCCTCAGATCTCAGACCCCAGGGCCCTGGGGATCACTCCATGTCAGCAATCTTACCTGTAACTGATCTTCTAGAACAGCTGTAGCACTCTCACCACTGTTTTCATCAACAATCACCACCATGTGAGTTAAAGAATTCACTTTCACCTGTTCCGTCTCAAGGTCATTCTGCAAACTCTAGAGAAAAATTAAGTTAAACAGTTATTTCCACTCTTCAACATTTACCTATTTAAAATCCATTCAGTTGTCAATAGTAATTAAAAAGACCTAATGAGGCATTATATTTAAATTCTCAATCATTACCTTAAATGTTCTACTAATGAACGCGGCTTAGTAGCCATCTTTTCATTGCATTATAAACCAAAGCACTTTGAAAATGCCATGCCATACACACTGTCAACAGAATGTCACCACTTATTCCAAATTCAAGGGGGGGAAGTGTGTGTGTGTGTGTGTGTGTGTGTGTGTGTGTGTGTGTGTGTCTTTGTGTATTGCATAAAAGAACTGAGTGTTGAGAAGTCAACTGAGATTTCATTCCTATACCAGGCAAAAGGATAAAAACGCAGAACAGGTTAAGTCAAAAATGTTCAGGATTTCGATACACTGTGTCATAGACCATTTTATCTTAGGCAGGATGGCATTTGTTAAAATTAACAATAGCATTATATGATAGCCCAAAGTTATTTTGATTCAGTACTGAGGAAAACAACCCAAGAAATACGGATATTTTCCAATCTCAGCCCTTTCATGAAGAAGTCAAAACAGAGAGACAATGTACATATGTGGTTGGCAAATGCTGAAAGCTTTATTTTGGGCAATCTCTTCCCATGTGACCTAGAGCCTCATAAACCTGCTAGAGGGTCAGTTATGAGTCCATTTTGAGTCCACTGTAATGAGAATTTGAAAGCTTTATGAAGGAGCCCCTGAATAGCACAAATGGTTTAAGTGCTCAAAAGGTTGCAGGTTCAAATCTACACAGTAGAGTCTCACAAACAGGACTGGCCATCTGTACTTAAAAGGTGACACATTTTAAATAAAGAAGACCAAAGAAAAATTAAAAAAAAAAAAGTGACACATTTTAAAATCCTGTGGAGTCTTTCTACTCTGACATACACAAAATCACCACTACTTGGAGTCAACTCAAGGACAACAACAACCAAGTATTAAGTATAGGTTATCAAGATGTCTCACCGGAATTCTTTGAAAGATGTGCAAAAAACAATTTTAAAAAAGGGCTTGTCTAATGTTTCTTCTTTTCAATATGGAAGGCTATTTCTTAACCAGTAACCAAATTCAATTGTCTATCAAAGTTTGGGTCCTCAGCTAGCTCTTGATGCCTTCCTGAGTCAGAGAAACTGCTACACCTTTCCTGAAAGCACTTTTTCTTGTTTTTTGGGGGGACAATGAGTCACGTAGGGATTACAGCAACCACAAACAGAAGAACTAGATGCAGACACAACCCAGGGTTTCCTCCCTCACTCACACACCACACTGATACCACACTCAGGTGTTCTTATCATTTACAGGGCCAAGAAAATCTTGCACAATCAATAAAAGCTATGCACTTTCAAAAGTAAACTGCCATGTTTGTATAACACGCTGACTGAACTTTCATCCTGCCTCGGGAACCATAGTGCATGAACTTGTCCCCTGAATCTGAAGAACTGTCCCTTCACTATGTGAAGGAGAGAAGTCATCAACTACTGAAGGTTTCTTTTTCATATCTGATTAGGTGGGGGGAAAATGCGAGACAGATTTACTTTATGATCTTCTAGCAGTTTCTGAATGGACTGTAAATCCTCATCCACGGGGTAGGCTTCCATCTTCTGAATGCGCTCTTCTGTGACTGTTAACCAGACAGAAAGCTGCTGCAGCTGCTGCTTCTGCAATTCCATCAGCACATCGTGCAACCTGGCCGTGGAGAAGACAACGTTAACCCACCAGTTCCTGTACCTGTCCACACCAGTTCCTGTACCTGTCCAAAGCACAGATGAAATCCAGGCACACCTGGGGCAAGTCAGCATACTCGTTAGGAGTGCTGGTGGCACAGCGAATTGAGCATCAGACGATTAACCAAAAGGTTGGCAGTTCGAAGCCGCCAGTCACTCCAGAAGAGAAAGATGATCCAGTCTGCACCCACAATGACTACAGCCTCAAAAAGTCAATCAAGGGTAGTTGTGAGTCAGAATTCGATAGCAGTGAGTTTTAATCATTAACACTTGCTTTTAGTCTTCAAATACAGAAACTGGGAAAAGAAGAATTTCATTTCTTCCTATCTGGGGCCAGTCTGATGCAGCCAAAGAATGCAAGCAAACAGCATCTTTTATTCACATCAGGACCATTGTTTCTCCAACCAGGAATTCCTGTTATAAAATAGGTGGAAACTGTAGTGGAAAGCAGCTGACTCCCTAATGCACAATATAAGAAAGCAATGTTCCATGGGAGGAGAAAAAAACCCCCACCCATGCCAAAAAGCACTTTTAAGATTGTAAGTCAACACTACTACACAGTCTTGTGCTCTTACCAAGGTCGTGTTGTTGTTATTGTTGATTGCCGTCGAGTTGAGCCCGACTCATAGTGACCTTAGAAACAAGAGACCTGAACCCTAGTATATAACTATTGTTTTTTTAAGTTCACAGAGTTCCCAGAGTCATGTTGTTAAGGTAGTGGATGGATGCCACTCCTGCTCCCAAGGTCATAGATAACTCTTCTTAATACTGCAGATGGATAACTGTATATATGAAATGCCTGCTCCCTGTTTGCCAATTTCTACATTCCCACTTTAGCCTTTTGCTTTGCTTCCAGATGTTAAGAGGAAAACAAAGACCATACTAAATGTCAACAACATCCCAAAAAGAAAAGAGTCAGACTATTAAAAGGTTGTTGCTGCTGTTGCTGTTATGTGCCGTCTTGCCACCTGCGACCCTATATACAACAGCCCTAAACCCTGCTCTTGGTAATCATCTCATCATCGAGAAAGCCATGTGGACAGGGCTCCCACGGGCCAGGCAGCCTGTGGACTAACTCCAGCCACGTGCGTTGGCGTCCACTCACCTGGACTGCCTCTCCATGCTCTCCACCCTGAGCGCCTCCCATCTGGCGTTGAGCAGGGTCATTTGCTCCTGGATCTCAAACTCCTCCTCTTCTGTGAGGGTCCCCTGGGTGAGGAGCTGGTTTCCCGCCTGCAGGACGCTCCCCACACTGCTCTGGTGGGCAGTCAGCTCCATCATAAAGGCCTGTGAGGGGCATTAGCAGGATTTGTGAGCCTCTCATTACAGAAAGGGACACAAACCAATTTCATGAATTCTTAATGTAGACTTATCAGTGCTGCAGAAAAGCCAACCTAAGAGAACGCATATAAAGTAAGATCCAATGTCTTAAGCCCTGAAAAGAGGAAACAAGTAAAAAGGGCAATAAATCAAGAACGATGATCCTTAGAACAGCACCAGCTATTCTTTAAGCAAATGCTGATTATGCTTCTAATAGATCATGAGAATGCTATTAATGGTTAAGTATAAGAAATAAAACTCTGTGCTCATAAAAGATTAACTATCTTAAAAAACTACTGGCTTCTACTATTTTTCAAAGAAAACAGCAAATAAGATCATCCACTAACAAACCGATACAGCCTGGTCACAAAGAAATCTCCACATAGTTAAATTCTCCCTCCTCTCCTGCAACAAAAAACATCCTCAATATAGTTTAAGATAGCTCATGACTTAAAATCATAAAGGAGTACTGACTATAATATGTCTCATGATGTGCTAAATAAAATGAACCACTTTCTGGTTAAGACTCAAAACCTTGAGATTTTGTGTACTGATTTCCCATTCACTGTGTATTAATTTTTGTCAAAGGGCTCTACAAAACATACAAATTATAACACGATTCAAATCCCACTCTCTAATGTGAACACAGTTAATCACCTATTCCAATTAAAAAAAAAAAGATCCAAATCTATTGCTGCAGAGTGAATTCTAACTTCTAATGATCTTATAGGGAAGCAGAACTGCCTTACAGGGTTTCCAAGATTCGAAATATTTTTTTCCTTTTTTATTAATTTTAATAGATATTTACAGAGGTTATGGATTCCCATTCATTCATTGCCGCACTTTTCTCCCTGCCCACCCCTCCCCACCAGTTCGCTCCCCTGTCCGAAAAGAAAAAGAAAAAAAAATATTCCTTCATTAGTATACAATTCCCCAATCCCTTTCCCCCCACCCCCCCCAGCCCAAGAAGATTCTAAATCTTAATGGGAAGAAACAGCTTCCTCTTTCTCCCTCGGACTGCCTAGTGGGTTCAAATTACCAGACTGTAAGTTAGTAAAAAAATGCTTTACCACTATACCAATAGGGCTCCTTTTTGAAAATACAGCTGCATTCAAATATCAGAAGTTCAACCACACACTGAGTCCTCTGTGATGCCTATCTCAGTCAACACCAGGCACCCAACCACCAGAGCACATCTCTCCTGCTCAGCTAACAGATACTCACTTCATGGGTCGCAAACTGCTCTTTAACTTCTTCAACATCATTAGAAATGTCGTCTTGCTCCTGGAAGGTGTCCTCGGCAGAGAGAAGCCAGGTCAGCACCTCCTCCAGCGCTATCTGATAGCTGTCCAGATCCACGTCCACCTCAGTGACCGTGCTGGGGGTCTCAGCCCGTAGACCCTCGGGCTCTTCCTCAGGTGCTGCGCTCTGTAAGAACCAAGAGAAACCCAGAGTCTTCCTGGAGCCGAGGAAAATGTGTGGCCAATGCACATCAGGGAAGACCTCAAGGTAAGGCAGGCAGGCACCCCTGTGTCTTAGACATCACTGTGATTTCGAGGAAGCAAACAGTGGATTACTGCTGGGTACTCGCAACTCGATTCCAACTCACAGGGACTCCGTGTGATTTAGAAGTACTGCCCCAGTGGGCTTTCTAGGCTGTAATCTTAGCAAAACCCAACTGACAGCTCTTTCCCTTGGAAAGATTCTGGGCAGGTTCTAGTCATCGACCTTTTGTGTAACAGCCAAGCGTCTAACTTGTATTGGCAGCTGTGCTTGGATGACAGAACAAGGGCACTGGTGACCTGGTGGCAGAATTCTCACCTTCTGTGTTGGAGACTGGAGTTCTATTCCACACCTGTGAGTCCCGTGCACAGTCATGTCCTGTATGCCAGTGCAGCCCTGGCGTATTGCTCTGATACTAAACAAGTATCATCAGAGCTTCCAGGCCAATACAGACTAGGAAGAAATGCCTGGCCATCGACTTCTGGAAAGCTGCCATTGAAAATTTGTCTGGTCAAAAGTGTCTCATCTACAAGACAGTGAGGCTGTCACGGGACAGGGCTTTCATTCGACTGTGTGTGGGATCATCACAAAATGAGTCAGGAGCCAAAAAAACCCCCCATGTATTCATGGATTCTGTACTGAGGGAGAGGCCCAGGCAGCTGGGGAGAGAAAATAACTCACACGGGTCATTTATGAACAAAAATAAGATGCCTATTAGCAAAGTTGTAAATCCTGTGGTTCTGACACAAGATGCTATTTGAGTTCAGCGAGGGCTTAAACAGTGTGGAGAGGGTCACAGGGTAGTCGGAGCACAGCGGCAGGATGGATGTGGTTTAAAGAAGTGGGGATGGAGGTTAGAACTTGGCTTTGACCCTTGCGTAAACGGCTTTCACTGGGCTGCATTTGGCATTGGACTTTGGACGCTAAAAGACAGCCATACAAACAAGCAGTGATCCTAAAGGGTACTTTCCGGAGACTGGAAGCCCTAGAGTTTTATTCACTGGTCCTTTTTTAAAAGAGCCTAGAGAATAAATCTCTTCCAAGCTCTTCAGATACAACTGAAGCATTTCCATTTCGGGAATCTTAAAAACAAAACTTCAACTATAATTCCCTTTGAGAGCAAACTCTTTACATTTTGCCAAGAGATTGGCTCCACTTTCTCACGCCTTACTCATGAAGTTTAAAAAGGACATTGCAAGCATTTCAAAATCTTGGCTTTTTAAAAAAAAAAAAAATTACCTTTGTTTGCATACAAAATTGCATACACTGTTTCATTCATGCATATTATATTCATGCTACCCTCACCATTGTGTTTCATATGATCATCCCCATATACTGTTTTATAAAATTAATCACCTAACTCAGGCCCATCAGGACAAATATTGCATAAGACCATTATTATAAAAATAGAGGGATAACTAGTAAGATGCTGTTAAGAGTCCACAGGGGGATGGAGAGGGAGAAGGGGGATGGGGGCTGAGGATGGAGGGAAAACATGGGGTCACAGAGTTTGGAGGGCAGAGGGAGGGCCTGAGGGAATCAGACTAGATCTTATGGGGACCTGAAAAGACAGAGACAGTGGACACAGATCAATAGAGACAGTATTTTTAAAGTGCTCAATTACCACTGCCTTCTACTGCGTCCTAGCCTGTGTCCTTACCACTCCCCTATAGAGGCTTTTCATCTTTTCCAAGGTCACCAATCAGCTTTCCATTGGGAAATCCATTATCTGGCACCATGTGAGTGTAATTTACTGACAAACCAGTAACTTTTATGAACTGCCATTTGTAACTATGTTAGTACAATAGAGATAACTCAGACTGGCCCGAGTAAACCCAGAGAGCAGCCACTACCAGCCGCCTTTCTTCCCACATGGCTGACCACTCCCTCACTTCCAGGACATTCCCTTTGCTTCAGCAACCCCATAGCCTCCGGGTTTCTGCACCACCTCAGTGGCAGCTGCCAAACTGTTAATAATAGATCTCCTCCAAAGCAAGTCCTAGGTGTGTTTTTTCTCTCTCTCTCTCTCTCTCTCCCTTCTCTCTTATTTTTATTTACACTTTGCCTATTCTTGATGGAGTTCAAGAAGCAATAATATTCTCAGATTTTTAACTTTACATTCCTACTCACAAACGCTCTTGTAAAAACACAAAGCTCCTGTATGGAAACCACCATCGTGTCTCTACAGCAATGTCTAATGGTTATAGAAAACCAAATCCACATTGGAACCTTAACTGTGCAAACCTACTCCTCCTCAAAGCTGCCCTTGCTCAGTAAACATCAACTCCAGTTACTAAACGATTCCAGCTAAAAACTGGAGGCAGTACTGGTTTATCTCTTTCCTTCGCCTTTCACACTTACTGGGTGAACAAGTCCTATGTATACTGCACTGAAACAGATGAGAGAGAGAACTGTTTAAAAGGGATTGTGATTAGGTATTATTGTCATGACGGAAGTCCAGAACAAGGCTGCATAGTGGAGTGGACCTGGGGGGAGGGATTATATAACAATGAAAGAATGTCACTTTCCAAAGAGAAGAAGGAACTGGAGGGAAGGGGTGGGCAGGGAGAAAAGTACAACAAAGAATGAATGGAAATCCAAAGTCTCTGTAAATTTTCATTAAAGTTAATAATATTAATAAGTTTATAAATAAAAAAAGTACCCAAAATGTTATCCATCTTGTCACAACCAGGAATGAAACATCACCTCAGCTGCCTCCAGTTCTGCTAAGAGATGTCTTCCTCATTTTCCCACCCAGACTCCATTTTTTGACACAGGAGCTTAAAGAAACTTTAGATAATTTAATCACAGTAAGATTTCCCTGCATAAGGCCTTTTAGAGCTTTCCTGATAATTCTTCAGATACATTTAAAAGCCATATTGTCATAAAGAGAACACAGTTACCTGTGAAATGGATAATAAGACTGGGTGTGTATATTTGTTTGCGTATGTGTATGTGTCTCTGTAACAGTGAGCTCGGATCAGATGGTAAGAGAAATTCTGGTTGTGTGAAAAGGTTTTATTTGAAACGTGGAAGGATGGAAAGCTTGGCCATCGTTCTAGTGTGTGAGGAGTAGTTCAGAGAGAAACCACATGTAGAAGAACCTTGGTGAAGCAAGAACGTTCACGAATATGGCAGCCATGGCCTAAAATGAATGCATGTGAGGTTTTATAAACGACAAGAGGAAACAAGGGCTTTAATGAATGTGAAAACTGGAAGAGAAACACAAAAAACGCTCTGAAGCAACTCACTGAAAAAAAATGAGTCAAGGTTCACACATTTGAAACACTGGATATAATTAAGCGAACTGTGGGAATAATAATTTAAAAAAAACAAAAACAGAAAGGAACACTAGTTAAGTTGTAGCCTAGAACTGATAAACCTTGGAGCCAGAATAACACAGGAGAGAAACTAATATCAAAATTCAATCTTATACCTGAGGAGAGCCGGCGAGTTGGAAGCTGGTGATGTGCCAACGGTAACTTAGTTGGGTATTAGCATCAGTGAGAGGAAAGAAAGGGTGTTATTAAACTGCAAATGTTCAGAAGATTTTAAAAAAGATGAAGAAACTTTCAATTAAGATCTTTACAGAACAATGAAGGAATTATCTGTGGAATAGCACAGCATATGTCTGTAGAGGGACAGACTGCCTATCAGGGTTCATTGGAGACTAAAGAGATGGCAAGCTTTGTCAAAAGAGACATGATTAAAACTTGATCACATTGTATTTCTTCAATTAACTTAATTCAACCTCTGAGGCACTAATGAAAGTATGCAAATGAAGAGGCTAATGCTAATCTGCTTGCTCTTAATCAAAAAGCAAATGGTTCCTCTAATTCTTATCACTCCAGCCTTAGCCTTAAACAGAAGTGATTCTTTTTTTCCACACAAATTAGAAAATAAACAAATTCTTCCTGTTGTTGGGGTGTTGTTTTATGTTTGGAGATTTTTGTTTGTTTGTTTGTTTGGCTGTTTTCTGTTTCCTTGTTTGTTTGTTCTTTGTGCTTTAACAGAGAATGCCCTTAAATAGAAGATATACAGAACCCGTATTTCTGAGATTCTAACAAAAGCAAACACAACTAAAGAAATGCTACTAAACCGCAAAACCTCTTCTACAGGACAATTAACACAGTGCACACTTCCTTAGGGCTTCAGGGGACTCTAAGCAGCATCTGATTTTCAGTCAAACTTCATCTCTCACCTTCCGTAACGTCCTCTGTGATTTTTCTACAGCTCATGCTGGTTTTGACATGGAGAAAAGATGTGGTCCTGGTGGCACAAAGAGTTAAGCATTCACGTCCTAACTGGAAAATCCACAGCTAGAAGGTGTAGGATAACTTCCTGGGAGGAAGACTGAGCTATCACCTCCCGTAGAGAATCCCTGCTTCCTTTAAGGCCATTCCAACTCACACAACTCTCCACAGACCTACAGCCTGGAAAGGTGCAAAGCCTTTACCAGAGCAGACTGCCCATCACAGAGGAGTGACTGGTAGACTCCAACCAACAACTCGGTCCATCATCTTGACACATTCTACACTAAGTCACCAGGGTTCTTTAAAGATTAAATCAAGAAAGGACTATGAAGTAATTCCAACCTGTCACATGGAGTCACATGGATCAAAATCAGCTTGACGAACACAACAAAAACAACCTACTACATTAAAAAAAAAATTCATCTATTTAAATAAACCATAAAACTATACCAAATCATCCTGGAGAGGATTAAACCGGGCTGCTCCTTGGAGGCAAGGATTCTGAGGCTTCGTCTGACATACTTTGGTCATGTTGTAAGGAGAGACCAGTCCTTGGAGAAGGACATCATGCTTGGGAGGGTGGAAGGACAGCACAGGAGGGGAAGACCCTCAGCGACTGGGGTAATCGGGATGGGTGTCTCAGAGACAGTGAGATTGGCACAGGACAGAGCAGAGTTTACGGCTGTTGCACATAGGGTCGCTATGAATCACAAGCGATTCAATGGCACATAACAACAACAACAATACCAAACCCACTGCTATAGTTGATGCCAATTCATGGCAGCTACCCGTCAGGTTTCTGAGCCGAGGAAAATCCCTACTGTTCTCCCATGGAGTGGGAGAACCATGGAGTGAACTCAAACCACTGTTCTTTAGGTTGGCAGCTCAGGCACTAACTGTCAGAACATCTTCTAAACCACTAGAGGAAGGGGAAATGTTAAGCAGAAGTCCATTATCCTTAAAGGAGAATTCAGTCACATTTTTAAAAAAGGAATTGGTTCAACGTAATCAATGAAGATGGCAAAGCAAAATTGAGTGAAAAATTATAATAATGACTGCTACTATTTAGTAAATGCTTATTAGCAACATTTCAGGCACTTTTAAAGTCATTATCTTCATAAAATGATTTTATTCTCCTTTTAAATACCAAATTGTCATTTAGAGGCTCAATAATTACTCCAGAGAAAGGAGTTACGGGGCTTAATTTAACCCAAAGTACCGGCTTTCTGCTTCTATAAAATGTATCTCCTATAATTCTGAAATTTGTACACATTTCTTCTTCTAATTAAAATTTATTCCTCTTAACCAAGTACTGCCATTACAGGCTCTTAGCTTTAACACACACAAAAAAAGAAAGTGACTCATAACTGATTGGTGGGAACTTAAGTAGAGGCAGACCTGCTGATCTGACTGACATCAGCCACGTGCCAGGTGCCTGAGGAGTGACCACGCTGGACACAGAAGAAACACAGACAGAAAACACACACTCACAACCCTTCTTTGGTGCGAGATAGGAGAGGAAATGATGAGCAAGGAACAGCACCTGGCTGAACACCCACTTCAGTTCTCCTACTTTGTGAGGGACAATCTTTCACACCTAAAATAAGTTGTGGTGAGAGAACCAACGCTCAGAAAACTACAAATACTACAAAATTTGTTTTAGTCTTTTTAAAAAGCTGGTTAACCGGTATACAACTGACTGGTGGGACAATAATTAAGCAGTCAGCTCATTCAAACCGGCCAGCATCTCTGCAGTGAAAAGATCTGGTCCTCAGTTCCTATTCAGATTACCGCCTGTGAAACCCTAGAGGACAGTTCCAGTCTGTCCTGTGCGGTTACTGTGATCAGAATGAGCTGGATGAGATGCACATCACCACCACCACCATCACCAACACCACCAAGGTTAAGAGACAAAACAGTAAACAAGGAGATGGTCTGACCTGGTGTTTGCCAACAAGGGATTCAAGTACAACAGAGGTTATGAGGCTGGCACAGGATGGGGAAGGTTTCAATCTGTTGTGTGTTACGAGTCAGAGTTGAGTCAACAGCACCGAACAACAATGCACGTAAGTGTTGCTATGTACCTTTGAGTTGAAACCAAGTCACCGATTACCCTCCAGTAGATTTTCAGAGGCAATAAGCCCCTCTTTCTCCTGCAGAACAGCTAGTAGACTTGAACTGCATCCCTTTGGGTTGGCTGAATCACTCCTTATTGCAAAGCCATCAGAGTTCCCTAACAAGGAACTAGACGAAATCTATCCTGGCAATGATATCAAAACAAAGGTCACCAACAACAAACAAAAAATCACACCCACTACTGCTGAGTCCATGTCACCTCATAGAACCCTACAGCACAGAGCAGAACTGCCGGACGGGGCTTCCTAGGCTGGAAATCTTACAGCAGCAGAACTCAAATTTACCTTCCACAGAGGGATTCAGAGGTTCAGATTATCAATCTTGTTAGCAGTTGAGAGATTTAACCACTGTGCCACCCGATCTCCAAGAGCATCAATAAATCCAGTCCTTGTAAGATAATGGTATTGGAGGAGCAGAAAGGGATAGGGTATGAGGCCCACAACTAGACAACACTACCTGTCACCTAGCATTACCCATCACTCAGAATTACATGTCACCCACCCAGCACTACCTGTCACTCAGCACCATGACACCTGGCAACTAGACAACACTACCTGTCACCTAGCACACCCTTCACCCAGAATTACACATCACCTAGCACTACCTGTCACTCAGCACCAGGACCTGTCACCTGGAAGTACGACCTTGCACTACTGTGCACCAGGCTAAACATTGCTGTGATAGCCTTTGTTAGCTGGACAAGAAACAGGAAGATCAAAGAAGAATCAATGCTGTTGAATGATGTCTTGGCAAAGGGGACCGAATGTTCCACAGACGGCCAAAAGAATAAACAAGTCTGTCCTGGATAAAGTGCAACAGGTGTGCTCCTTAAAGACAAAGGTGGTGACACCTCGTCTCACAGACTCTGGGCAGGCTGTCAGAAGGAGCTTCTCTTTGCAAAAAGACTTTATGCTGAGAAAGGTCAGAGGAAAAGAGGAATCCCTCAACAAGATGGACTGACATAGTGATTGCAACAATGGGCTGAGCTTGGCGGGATGGGCAGGACAGGGCAAGGTTCAGATCTGTTGTTCATAAGATTGTTAGAATCACAGTTGACTCTACAACATTTAAAAATGATCTAAGAATACAAATATGAGGAAATGCCAAACTGTCTTCCAGAGTGGCTGTACCATTTTACAATCCCACAGTGTATGAGAGTTCCCACCTCTCCACATCCTCTCCAGCATTTACTGCAATCACTCTGGAAGACATTTCGGTATTTTCTCAAAAAGCTGACCAAAGAAACTCGATATGATCCAACTATTCCACTACTAGCAATATACCCCAAGGAAATTAAAACCGAGATACAAACGGAGATTGTACACCAGTGCTAATAGAAGCATTATTCATCATCACAAGAATATGAAAACAGCCCCAAATGTCCAACCACAAATGAATGGACTGAGAAACTGTGGTACTTTCACACAACGGAATACTATGCAGCACTGAGAGCATTATACTGGGTAAACTCAGTCTCAGAAAGACAAATACTGAATAAGACCATTATTGTAAAAATAGAATGGTAACTAGTATAGAAACCCAAAGGGGGAAGGGGTGGGAGAAAAACGGTGAGGATGGGTAGGGGCTAAACACAGGGTTGCACAGTTTGGTGGGTGGAGGGACTGGGGTAAGCAAATGGGAAGGACCAGGGTGAAAAGACAGGGTAATGATGGGCAAGGTCCAAGGTGATTCATTTTATAAAACATAATACATGGTAATGATTGTATGAAACACAATGTCAATAAAGAATAGTGTGAAACACAATGGAAATGAACCTTGTAAGCAAACCAACAAAAAAAACCAGGAATATAAATATGATAGTCAAATATATTCATAAGATTTCATATACACTCACCTGTATGTTAATCTCTCCTTCTTCACATTCTTTCTTATATTTCCTTGGAAGTGTTTCTACTTCACGGATATCATCTAAAGTAACCTGCTGAGGTAGCACCTCGAACAAAGACGTTAAATACATAATTATGGATTTCTTGTCAGGAAGCTGAACAGCAACATCTACAAGTGGAAAAAAATGAAAACTAGCTTAAATTAAATGTCCAGACTATGCGAACTGCTCAATATTCAATATGAAATAACACTCCTTAGTACCCATAAACAATGTCTAATATATAATCTTTGCAGTACCATAGCTCAGTAAACACTTCCTCCATACATAACATGAGACTACGGCAAGATAGAATACTTGTATTCTGCGTCCCATTCCTTAAAAATCTTCTCTAAGAGCGACCTCAAAATTCTAAAAGATAAGCTACCATCTACTTATATTTAAGATGACTGGTATTAGTCACACCATGAAAATAAGTCCAACATTCACCTTTGCAACATTTATAACTAGTACTCATAGCGTAAACAAGAAACTTACAGAAAAATTCAATTTTATTAACTAAATCAAACATTGAATTGTTTATCTTAAGTATTTTTTTCCTAAAACAATGAATCTTACCATAATATAGAAGAACAATTCTCTAATAATGTAGTGAAATTTTTCTCTAAAGAATCCTACAAGTTGCTAAATCTAACAGGTACTAATAATCTATCATTAAATGGTTTCCATATATATTTTAACAGAAAAATACCAATTTTCATCATTTGTTATCAAAAAGTAAAAAGCTTTAAAAAAGCCTTTTTTTAAAGTGTTCAAAATAATAAATAACATTGACGAGTACCTTCAGGATCTAACAGCTTTTCAATTCCCAAGTAAGTCTGAGCTTTGCTGAAGGCATGTTCGAGTCTCTCAATTGGGGACATTCTGATGACTCTATCCCAGCTGAAAAGATCAGGTCTGATGGCACCATGCAAAGAAAACACAACAAGGATTGTATAAATTGCAGGGAAGTAGTAGTTATTATAATTACTAGTTTTACTTTTTCTTATTTGTGGATGAAAGTTTGTCTTTGAAGTTATAACCTAGCCTTTCAACTATATGATACTTGAAAATAACTTGCCAAGATGAAAATAACCAATATTTCAGTCTAAGGTTCTTGGAAATAAAAACCTCAGACAATATTTGGCTGGAGCATTTGCAAGAAATGTGTGTATAGTGGTGACTGAGGAGGTGCTTATGAAAGGAGAAGTGGAACGAAAGAAGAGACACAAGTTTATTAAAAGCTGATCCTAATCTGTTGTCCTGGTCATAAGAAGCTGCGCTGCAATCCCAGTTCAAATCCATCAGCTGCTCCACGGAAGAAGGATGAGCAATCTCCTTCACTGTGCTCTCTGAAGACTAAAGCGCATCTGATACAGGCCATGGTCTTCGCAACCACTTGTTATGCATCAGAGAGTTGGACAGTGAGTGACTAAGGAGGATAGAAGGAGAATTGATGCCTTTGAGCTGTGGTGCTGAAGAAGAGTTCAGAATATACCACGGGCTGCCAAGAAAACAAACAGATTCATCCTGGAGAGGGTTAAACCGGGCAGCTCCTTGGAGGCAAGGATTCTGAGGCTCCGTCTAACATATATTGGACATGTAAGGAGAGATCGGTCCTTGGAGAGAGACATCATGCTTAGGAGGGTGGAGGGACAGCGCAGGAGGGGAAGGCCCTCTATGAGGTGGATTGATTCAGTGACTGGGGTAATCGGGATGGGTGTATCGGAGACGGGGCGATTGGCACAGGACAGCGCAGAGTTTAGGGCTGTTGTACACAGGGTCACTATGAGTCGCAAGAGACTCAATGCCACATAACAACAACAAAAGTACACTGGAGGGTCAGCTATGCGTCGGTTCCGACTCAGCAGCACTCAGCAACAACAAACAGAACAAAAGGGCTCACTTGTGGCGATGGAGCACGGCATTGAAGGCAAGTCCGTCTGTCCAGCTTGTGGTGAAGTTGAGGACGTTGACCTGGCTGTAAGGCCGGGTGGACTGGCGCACCCAGCTCAGCAGGATCTTCTCGCTGTTGGTCTGCTGCAAGTCTGACATGATGTCCTTCATGACGTCCTTCACCTACGAGAGAAGAAAACACAGCTGCCGAGTCACCTCACCAAGTGGACTGAAATAAGACCTTCAACGAAGAGCATTATGTCAATTAGCCTTTATGGATCCGGGAGTTGACACTCATGCCATTCCTATATTTTCTCTTAAAAACCGGAAAGATAATTCATTAGTGATTATTTCTGAAAATTAGGATTTAGAAGGAATTTTATCTATTACTGCATGTTCTACAGTTGAAACAATACTTATGTTTTACTACACTGGACATTAACAATTTCAATAAAAAGTATGACATTTTAAGACTGGACATTTAAAAGATCTTTGGGGAAAGAATTCAACTTCTACTTTCTAAAAATTAAAGAAACTAATTTTTCATCTTTAAATTTTTATCCTTTTTTCTCCCTACTAAAAAGAAGACACCAATTTTGAAAACACAATCAAAGAATTACATACTTTTCACTTGGGAGAAAGAGTTTCCATCTAGAACTACCATTATTTTAGTTAATATACAAAAGTGGCTAATACATGTTCAAGGAAGTACTGAAAGAATAATGTAGACATATCAAAAATAAAACAGACCCACCACTGGCGCCAACATAAGGGGCTCAACTTGAAAAATCTAGGGTAATCAGAATCTGGAAATAATATTAAAAGAGCTACACTAAATAACATGCCACCAGAAACTCTGTGAACTTTAATATATGTCGATAGTTGTAGAGGGGCTTTAGGTCTCTTGTTCATAGGGTCACTATGAGTCGTTCTCGACTTGAAGGCAATCAACAAAACAACACACTGATATAGAAATAGAGACATATCAGAAAGAGAGAAATGGATGGACAGACAGACCAAAACTAGACAGGGGAAAGTCCCTCCTTACAAGCAAGAAGTCAACTCTTAATTACAAAAATATCAGTTAAATTAGAAAGCCAAGATTTGCCAACCACAACCACATTTCTCACTTGATTCAAGTGAGAACTGAGAATGGAAGGTAAAATTTAAAAAAAAAGAAAAACAACTCTGGGAGCTTAGTGGTAAGGCATTGTACTGCCCACTCAAAAGGTATGAGTTCAAATACACCAGATGCTACTCAGGAGAACGATGGGCAATCAACACCCAGGGTATTTACTGCCTGTGAAAACCCCCAGGAGGGTCAGCAATGGATTAGCTCCAACTCGATGGTACACAACAACAACAACAGAATTCTAAAGGTCCCTGCCAAAATGAAGACTATGAACCTGACCAAGTGGAAAAATCATCTGAGCCCACAATGAGGGACACAAATATCAAAATACCTAAAATAAATACAAAAATACTGGTATAAAATAATTATCTGCCTTTAGCTAACTGGTCAGTGTAATGAATACTACAATAGATTCACAAATTTACTCCATATTAAAGAGGAGGGCTAAAAAGATAGATGAACGCAATGCATGGCTGTTGGTTTTCTTTTGCTTCGGAGGAGTTTATGGGGTAATTTGCAACGTCTCCTTACTATCTGGAGATGTCTTAACTGTATTCTTTCCATATTATTTTCTTGATTTTGAGAACTACAGATTCCATGTTATCACTATAAAACAGAATGACTATCACTTCACCTAGTAATTAACTAGAACATATATTAAGATATGCATTCTATCGTATAAGAAATTTTTCTGCTTCTAAAAGAATCTCTTATTTTTAGGAAATCCACACTGACGTACGTAAGCGGGCAGAGAGATGGGAAAGAAAATGCTGAAATATGGAAAAGTGCTACTATTTGGGGACTCTGAGTGAACAGTGTCTCAAAGTTCTTTATATTATTCTTGAGTATGCTTGAAATTACGTGACTTGGTTAAAATCCAATCGGTTGTGGGTTTTTTTATCTTGTCCTACTGCAAGAAATCACTTGCTATGCATTTGAGAGCTGGGCAATGAAAAAGGATGACAGAGGAAAAACTGATGTCTTTGAGCTGTGGTATTGGAGAAGAGTGCTGAATACGCCATGGACTGCCAAAAGAACAAAAAGGTATGTCTTGTACAAAGTCCAGCCAGAGTACTGTTTGGAGGCACAGATGGCAAAGCCTCACCTCACATACATTGGGCATGTTGCTAGGAGAAGCTGCTCCTTGGAGAGGGACATCATGCTTAGAAAGAAAAGAAGACCCTCAACCAGACGGATTGACACAGTGACCGCTGCAATGGGCTCTAGTGTGTCAGGAAGTATGAGGATGGCTCAGGACATAACAAGGTTCAGACCTGTTGTTCAGAGGTTCCTATGGGTCGTACTCAATGTGCCAGCACCTACCAGCAACAATCACCACCCCCAGAAAATATTGCAGTGTTCTGTGCCACCTACCAGAAGACTAGGATTTAAATGGCTTGGGGCATGGCCTGGCTTTTGAAGTATTTTTAAAGGTGTCTTGTTGCTTTTGGTGAGTACTGCTGGGTCAGAACCGACCCACAGCTAACCCTCCAGCAGGTTTTCAGAGGCAGTAAATCACCCAGGAGGAGATTGCCCATCCTTCTCCCACAGAGCAGCTGGTGGCCTCGAACTGCATGCCTTCAAGATTGCAGTGCAGCTTCTTACGTGTAGGTCACAAGAGAGCTCTTTTAAAGGTTTACGATCCTTCTAATACAATTCAAGTGCTATCTTTCCCATTTCTATTACAAAGTAGCTCAAAATGTCCCCACCTGCCAGTGTAAAATGATGCTCCAGAGTAATCCCAAAGTCAGTTTGTGATTTCCGTCCACAATGTCGGTTCCTCCAATATTCACCAAATCCACCTGTTCGAGTGGAAAAAGTTTACTTGTAAGACAATCTTTCACAGAAGATCAGGATTTCATTTTAGCAGCTCTGTGCAGCAATATAAGTAAATGATAAGAGATAGTTCACTTTAGAGAATAAGGTAAATGTAATCTTGAAAATACATTATAGATAAATAATAATTAGAAATAGTGCTTCACTTTGGATCCAATTCACTCATATTAAAAGCTCAATACATTAAATGTTTCTAAAAAATCAGTTGATGCCACTGCATCAGAGCAAGTGGCTGGTAACAAAGCAAAAAATGTGTGTTGCCCAGATGAAGCCCAAAAGTCACACCCCACACTTACATTGTTCTGGTGTAAAACCTGGAGCACACGGTTGACGTTGTTCAAAGCGTGTACCCGTGTGGAGCCACGTTCCTTCGGCTGGAAAACAAAACAGAAAATCCAGTTAACAAGCCCTTTGCTGCATGTTCCTGTCACAAAACATCTGACTTCTAAAACCATTGTGGAGATTTGTGTGTGCAGATCCTCCAGTCAAGAACATGAAGACAGTGGTTCCCCAACTTTGCTGAGTCCTTGAGGGTTGGGTGGGAACACATGGTCAAGTGCTTTGCTATTCACCAAAGCTTTGTCAGTTCAGATCCACCCAGAGTCAACCTCTACTAAAAGGTCACCTCCACAGAAACCCTAAAAAGCAGGGTTAGCACGAGTGTGAGTGAACCCCTCAGCAGCTGACCTAGTTTTCCGTTGGCGCTGGCCTCTCCTAAATAATGTAAAGTATTTCTTTTAAAAATATTGTTCTTGTTGTTGTTTAATGCCGTCGAGTTGTAGACGACTCATAGCGACCCTATGAACGAACAGCCTGAGCACTGTTCATACATAGAGTTTCCGGAGGCAAGCCATTTTGGAAGTGGATGCCGCTCCTGCTTCCAGGCTTGATTTAGTCGGGAAGCTCCAGGCAACACTGTCCACCATGGCTGCCCATTATGGAGTATAAAATTGTGCAAAGTACTGATGCCTGCATTTTATCCCACCTCCAAAAGATGGACTGGACACGTGAAAGTTGTATTCATGGTTGGCGTTGCAATTTTTCAAAGTTTTCTGGTCATTTTCATGTGATTGTAAATTTGGGAAGCTCTGTTTTAGGAGCACTGCTTTTCTGACCTAAATTGGTCCTGATACAGAAAAGACTTAGGAAACTGGACCCTTCACCGGATCCAGGAATGCAGGACTTGGCACCGTGGCACCAAGGCAGCTCTTTCTGCTTCCTGGCCAGGAAATCCTAAATGAGGATCACACACCAACTTCTCCAACATCTGGAAAACACACATTAGCAAGAAAGGAACTCCTCTTCTGGTGGGCATCTCTCTGTCCCTTTCACCTTAGTTTAACCTCTGGAGGCCTAGTACAATACATTTCACGTTTTAAATTCAAGAGAGCTGGACTTGATAAAGAAATACGCACAAAGATAATGCTGACAATCAGAATACAAATAAATGCCACCTTTTAAAACATCTTGCTTCAAACTACATCTGCTAGGTCACCACTTTAGAGAGCTCTCAGGGCTTAATGGCAAGGAGTTGTGTTGTCAACCCAACGGCAGGTGGTTTGAATTTACCAGCTGCTCCTTGACCGAAACATAGGCAATGGTTCATTTGATCTACAGTTTCCAAAAGCCCAGTGGAACATCAGCTGTGAGTCAGTTCCAACTCAACAGGACCTAACAACACCATATTGTGTGTTTGTCTCTAAACACCTTTCTACTGTTCAATATCTTGCGTCCCTTTTAAATATTCATTCTTCTTTGCTATTTCTCAATATTATAAAAGGGCTGTCTCAGAAATAAAGATGGTAAATTCATCGTTGGTTAACATAAAGCCCTCCCAAAAGTCCAAATATTGTTCTATCAAAAAACTAATTATGAATGTATCTTTTCAATTTTCCCACTTCAGCTTTTCTGTTTTAGGTGTGTCCACAGCAGGTCTTCGCGTGTCAGTAATGGCCAGTAACGATCGGTTAGCCTTGTATTTGACAATGATGTTTCTCACCAGCGAGGTTCCGGTGAGGCCTTCGAGGAGGTCCAATAGCTTCCTTCCATCCTTGAGGTCTGTGAACATATCACTGATGGGTGGCTTCCCACTCTAGAAAACAAAAAACAAAAGTATGGGTTAAGCCGATAGCAAAAATCCCTACCCTAGCTGGCAAACAAATGAATGCATTTCTTGTTTCCCATTAAAAAGTTCTGGAAGATTTGTAAACTCTCCAACCTTCCCTTGGACAGGAAGAGTAAGTGCAGAGAGCTTTTAAAGAATGCTTTACATTACTTTTTAGAATAGGAGTTTTTTTAAAAAAAAAAAAAGCTATGATGAATGTTAATGTATCTTCACAATGGTGGAGTATGTCCCTGAGCCAGGAATGATAAAGGAAGGTAGTGACATCTATCAACAAGCAGAGTCCACCCTGGCATGGGGATTCAATCCCATCTGTGGTACAAAGTCATCACACCACTGTCCTTTGTGGTATAATGACACCAACTCAGAATTAGCATTATGGACAATTTACCTTGTCAACAAGTTCAGCTCTCAGGTGCCACACTGATAATGCTAGTCTTTTATTTGTGAATGAATGAATGAATGACTATGAGGCCAGTACTACAAGATCATGCTCTCTGTAGGGAATTCAGTGACCTCTGATGGGCTTGTGATAAGAAGCTGCGCTGCAATCCCAAAGGCGTTTGAGTCCACCAGCTGCTCCACAGATGGGCAATCTCCCCAGCCCCACCCCCAGGTCTCTGAATTTATTGCCTCTACATACCTGCTGCAGTGTTCACTAAGGGTCAGTTCCGACTCGACAGAACACAACCACCACAAGACCAATCTTTTGAATGAAAAGGTTTATAAGAACCAAAACCAAATCTGCTGCCATCAAGTCGATTCTAAGTAAGAGTGAGAGATACAGCAGAACTGTCCCACAGTGTCTCCAAAACTGTTATCTTGTGGAAGTAGAGAGCTGAGCTGCGTCTTTCCCCCAGAGAAAGGCCAGGGAGTTGGAACCTTTCAGTTAACCACCAAATGGTCTGACTCCAGAGCCACACGCTCCTTCAAAGGCTTACAGAATTCGGACATTTTCACCCCTGGCTGATGAACTGCAGGAAGCAAACTCCGGTGTTAGAGCTCAGAAACCCACCTCCCTTCAGTTTGGCGGGTCTCTGCATGGACCACAGCAGCCCTGGAGGTGGAGTCAGGAAGCCTGGGTCTGAACACATTGGTCACTAACTGGATAGTGAGCCAGGTCCAGCTGCCACCTAACCTTTTTCTGAACTGCATTTCCCCCCCCCACCCTCGCTCCTCTTAATTGCATTTTATTGTGAAGATGAAATAATAGATTTTTTTAAACTGTCAAGAATTAAAACAAACAACAGTAAAACCTGACTCCTGTCTCTAAGTCAGTTCTGCCTCAGAGAACCCCTCCATCTGAGCCTCTACATCTCTGTGGGAAGGAAGGGCTAGCACAGCTTTCTCCCCCAGAGCAGCTGGTAGACTCGAACTGTCGAGCTTCTGGTTGGTAAACTGTCACCCTGAGCACCAGGCTCCCGGGGCTCCTTCCTCAATGATAAAACACCATTTAATAAGTGGTGCAGACAGTTTAAAATCAGTGACAAACCTAAAGATAAGTGATTTAACCTACAGGGCAGTTCAGGGATAAAAGGCCGGATGGACTGTTGTAAAGGGTAAACCCAGGAAAACTCTACTGACCAAACTGTTGTAAAAGGTAAAACGGTATCCCAACAAAATGAAGCAAGAGGTGCAGTACAACATGGCTGGGGGGACGAGGGAGAGGGAGCAAAATGTACAACAATGAGTGAGGGCAGAGTGGAAAGAGCTAGAGGGTTCCCAGGTGGTGGAGCAATAAACCTGGGAGCCCCTGGTCGGGAGGCTTGTCTTAGAGTGGGACACGTCCAAGCATTTAGGGGAGAACTAAGTTTGCCAATATATGAAGCTAGAGTTCAGCACCTTTAGACCTAGACTTGCCACTGGAGTGAGGTGCTTTATGGAGGCATTTGCACTGGCAGAGCGACAGGACCTATGTGGCAGAAGCCAAGGGCTCGAGGCCAAGGATCACACAAAGCCTTGTCATCACCTATGGCCATGATCTGGGTTGTTCCTGAACCTGAATTGTAACATGTTACTTCCCTGACAAATTCCATATCTGTGAAAAAAAAAAGCAAAAACAAAAACAAACAAAAATCTACAAGGTAAAACCAAAAAAACTCTATAGAACAGCTCAGCTTTGTAACACAGAAGTGTGTCAAATAAACCACAGCACCACTATGAAAACTGCACAGATTACTAGCTCCATTTCCCAGAGTTAATAATGATACATTATAAAGAATAATGATTACATGAGAGAGAGAGAGAGAGAGAGAGAGAGAGAGAGAGAGAGAGAGAGTAGAAGTTCAGTTATCTATCATCATGTTGTTGTTACTGTGTGTGTCAAGCAGGAACCATCCCATAGCTGACCCTCCAGTGGGTTTTCAGAGGCAGTAAATTACAGAAGAGGAGACCGCCTATCCTTTTCCCACAGAGCAGCTGGTCGATTTGAACCTTGTGCCTTTGGGATTGCAACAAAGCTTCTTACTACTAAGCAATCAGAGCTCCCTACTATATATATCATATAAAAGAAAATTTATTCTGAGTTTGAAATAGAAAAGAGGGAAGGGGCTGTTCAGAAATTTCCTAAAATCTTGCAATATCCTACCCATTGGGCTTTTTGTTTGGTTTGTTGTTTTGGGGGAAGTTTTGTTTGTTTTTACTTCTCCTCTCATGATTTGTGCTATGTGCCTCTTCCATAGTTCACATAGTATAAATGAGAGGCAGTATGGTAAAGTGTTCACTCAAAACAAAGCAGAACTGTTTTGAATCCAAACAAAGCTGTTTCTCCATTCCCAGCTGCCATCTGCATGGCCAGGGACAGGGCTGGGGTCATACAGACAACTTCGCTGATGGCGCAGCGACGAAACTTCAGAAAGCAGTGCAAGGGGCGACTTCCCACACCCAGCCTTTGGAAAATGACATCAGGCTTGGAAATGTGGAGGATCAGCGAAAGAAGAGGAAGACCTTCACAGGATGGACTAACACAGTGATTGTCACAACGGGCTTACGTACAGCAGAGGTAAGATAACGGTACAAGCTGGAAAAGGGCTCGGATCCTTTGTTCACAGCGTCACCATGAGTCATCGCAGACTCAACAGCACCTAACAACAACAGCAATGTAGGTGTCTCTCATAGGACAGTTTTTAGCAAGTTCACTGCTAACTCAAAGATTGTAAGTGGCCAGCAGTTCAAAGCCACCAGCCACTAAAAGAAAGAAAGACAGCAGCGTCCTTCACAATTTACAGGCTCAGAAACCACTATCATTGGATCTGACTCAAGAGCAGTAAATGAGCATCCAGGGAACTACAAAGACAAAGGGTCCTTTATCCCACTCCCTCCAAAATGCAAACAGCAAATCTGCCACCCAATTATCAAGTTCTATTTCAAGGAGCGTTGAACACTCTTGGTCTTAGATACAGAGAAGACACAAGAATGTAGGTAAATTTCTTGGTAGGAAAAAAAACCCGAGTGTATTTACACACAGAGAGAATGTGAAGAGATACAGATGTGGTGAGTGTATTGTTATTAGTCACCATCAAGTAACATGGTGACGCATGGACAGCTGTGACCTCCAGTTTTCACGAACCTCTTTTTCATAAGTAGATCACCAGGCCTTTTTTTTCCCACGCTTGTCTTAGTCTAGAAGCTCCACTGTTCTGTGTCCTAATAACACATAAGCCTCCACTGACAGAAGAGGGGTGGCTATTTAAAGCATATTGGCTGGGAAGCAAACCCCAGTCTCTCACAAAAATTCTACCACTGCTTTGTACATAAATAATAATTACATGTGTACATGGCAGGTCAGCATAAAACGTTCACTGTGCATCTTCTTCCTAAAGAACTAAAATAAAACACCACACAATCTAATAAGCTCTGTTGGCCTAATCGTAAGGAACTGTGCTGCAATCCCAAAGGCACATGGTTCAGATACACCAGCAGCTCCACGGAACAAAGACGGGCCATCATCTGTCGTATGATTTACTGCGTCTGAAAACTCAGCAGAGTCAGCTATGACGTGGTTCCAACTTAATGGCAAGCAACAACTACTATGAAATAAAACAGATGAAAGCAAGTGTCCTTATTATAAATCATATGAGTGTCCATCATTACCCTATCTGACATGGAACCTCTCACAAGCCAGATAGCTCTGTGCAAGCTCCCTAACCTTACTCTACTTGTTTATCTGTTACAAAGTGCGATGACAGATGTTCAATAAATGGTAAATACGCTCATTCATCTCCCAACATCAGTGTTTTCTGCTGTCAGAAAAAAATGTCATAAAATGTCAACAATACCTGGAAGGGCTGATAAGACACACACATACACGCGAAGGCACCCCTTTTATCTATCACAGGCAGGAGGGCAAAAACAGGCTCTGAACATGCGCGTAAATTAGCTTCAATTCACAGAGAAAGAGCATTCAAATTCCACTTTCAGTCGTAAGCAGATCCACGGGGATCACTCCCATTCAAGTGCAACTGATAGGCAACACAACAGGGCTCCGGAAGCCCAGCAGGAAACAAAATATATTTCAACTGGAAACTAAGAGGATGTATCTCTAAGTCAAATTGTGTTCAATGGAAAAGTGGGGCATTCTGGGCGTGGTATTCATTTTTTTCTGAATGAAATACTCATTTCCTCTTATGTAGTTAACCCATTTGTTTACTAAACAAGAAACATGAGAAAAATCCTCCCCCCGCCCCCACCAAATGCTAACTACAAAGATGACAGAAACACAGTTCCGTCTGCCTTTTAGGAAGCTCATCACTTATACAAGGGTACCCACTGCCCCTGGCTCACATACACACCCCCACACTCAACACACACACAGTCAATCACTACAAAATAATACATATTCTTCACTAATGCAACCTAGGAATGTCCATCCATGGAAGAAAGGAAGCAATCTGTGCCAAGGAACAAGCTGCACCTAGAACCCTGGAGAGTAACAAGAACGTGACAAGGATGGTAATCAAGTGTTCTGGGCA